GGGGGATGCTAATCTAAATATTAATTAATTTAATATTATTATATAATAAATAATTAATATAAATTTATTCGGTTTTTTCATTTTATTAATTTTTTGATTAATAATTTATAGGGACCTACATTGACCACCACCACCACCTCTTAAAATAGATTTATTTTTTCTATTTCGAATCATATTCAAATTAAGATTATAGTAAATAGGAAACTGGGATAATATTTGGTCTGGTTCCCGAATTCGAGAAATGCCGAAAATTCACCTCGAGTTAGTGGAAACCGAGTGAGACGGAGCATTGAAAAGAAGGCTCTGAAGGCCGCACTCAAACAGTCTGTTTGTGCACCGTTTCACCCACTTTCCAAGTCCTCCCTTGGCGCGGATCCCCCCCTGACCCCCCCGCTTGCGGGGGGGGGGGGGAACCACATCCGCGTCCACACAGTACGGACAAGGAAAGTGGGTGACATGGGGACGCACAAACAGTGGCTGAAAAGTGGACTTCCTTCAAAAAACACTCGCGGCAAATATTTTTTTTTGGTAAAGGTGGTGGTGGTCAATGTAGGTCCCTAATTTATATTAAAATTAATTATAATTTTATTTTTTTCTAATTGAAATTAACCAATAGTTCCGAGCATCCTCCTTTTTCTAGCATCCCCATATTTTTTCCTTCTGTACTGTATAATAATTGGGTGGCGAGTAAACAATAGTTTAAAAAAGTTAAAAATAATCAATTTCAAAACAATTTAAATCTGTGGCAATAAAAAAAGTATGTGGGTAATGCTTGAGTTCATGTCTTTTTTTGTATTATTTTTTAATAATAAAAACAACTATAAATATAGTCAAGTTTAAAATAAATAAAAACAACTCGTTAATTTATTTTTTCCATTATTCGTTAATTATTTTTTCCTCTTTTTACAAATAAGCAAAAAATGAAACCCTATTAAATCCACTTTTGAACTGTTATTGAAAACCTAAACCATGGAAATCATCGAGACAACCCCACAACAACCCATCAGTCAACGCGTATCGTCTCATTCGCACATTAAAGGACTTGGCCTCGATTCCGCAGGTCTTCCGATATCTGATATTTCGTGTGGTTTAATTGGGCAAGAGAATGCTCGCGAGGCATTGGGACTTATTGTAGAGATGGTGAAGATGAAGCGAATGGCTGGGCGTGCCATTTTGCTTGCAGGAGCTCCAGGAACTGGCAAGACCGCGTTGGCTCAGGGTTTGGCCAAACAACTTGGTGACGATGTTCCTTTCCGCGCAATGGTAGCTTCCGAAGTGTATTCCGCTGAAGTCAAAAAAACGGAAGTCCTTATGGAAAACTTCCGCCGTGCCATCGGCCTTAAAATGAAAGAAGTTAAAGATGTTTACATTGGCGAGGTTAAGGAGATCACACCCGAGTTTGTCCCAAATGCGGTTGGTGGGTATGGAAAAACTGTGTCTGGTGTTGTTGTTTCGTTGAAAACAAACAAAGAGACCAAACAGTTACGCCTTGATCCAGGAATATACGACAAACTACAAGCCGAAAAAGTGACCGTTGGTGATGTTGTGTCAATTGAGTCAAGAACAGGTGAGTTGAAGAGACTTGGTAAGTGCGATAATTATGAATCTGAACACGACTTGGAGAACGACAAATTCGTGACACTTCCATCGGGAGACGTCCACCAAAAGCGTGAGGTTGTTACAAATGTGTCTCTGTATGATTTGGATCTTATTAACATAAAAAGCCCAAATACCTCTGTTAATTCCTTTTCCCACAAAGTTGAGATGACAGACAAACTGCGCTCCGAGGTGAATAAAATGGTCAACAAGTACATCAATCAAGGTAACGCGGAGTTGACACCAGGTGTGTTGTTCATCGACGAAGTTCATATGCTCGATGCAGAGTGTTTTGCCTTTTTAAACCGGATGTTAGAGAGTCAGTTGGCGCCAATTGTTGTTTTTGCAACAAACAGAGGATTAGTTGAAGTCAGAGGGACTGAAGAAGTATCACCACATGGCATTCCAATGGATTTGTTGGACAGACTCCTCATCATCCCAACAAAGCCATACGATTCAACACAACTTTACAAAATTATAAGTGTGAGAGCAACTGTTGAACACGTCGAGTTATCTGAAGAGGCCACTTTGTCTCTTGCAGGTGTCGCCTCGAAACTTCGTTAAGATTTGCTCTGCAGATGTTAACGCCAACTGCAATCGTCGCAAAAAGCAATGGAAATATTGTCATACAAAAATCAGACGTGGTGATGGCAATGACATTGTTTAACGACGCAAAGAAGTCTGCGATTAGCTTGTGAGTAAATTAATTTGGTGTTTTGACTGATTTGATTTTATGTGTC